CGCGGTGACTGAGCGCTATTAATTTAAATGCGATACGCGAATTATCGTGTACAGCTCGCGAAACCACAGGTTACCCTGTCATCTGCCCAGATTAGAATGCTGAATGATTTTGTTTATAGGTAACTGCTATAAAACTTGGAGCCGATGTTCCCAATGGAGTAGCTGGGGGACTGGGCGATTCTGGAAGACCTGCAATGACAGGTATAAAGTCATGTTTTCATTTCATTTTTACAAATGTAACTTAAGGGAAAATAATAAGTCGGTTAAACAAGTCGGATCATCAGTTCTGACTCCCCTCTCGCCGCTTGACTTATTAGAGGCCGTAAAATTTGAGAAAATGTGTTTGTTAAAATTTTGTTTCGTGGAACAACAGATTCCATCAAGCTAGTCATTATTCCCAAATACAATTGAAGTAAAGTCTATAAAGTCACAATGTTTGATGGCCTCGCCGTAGATGATAAACAGTTACTCGCGCTTAAAACTCCACCGGAAGTCGAGTGAAGGTTTTTCTTTACCAAGAGAATGCGTTTTTTCATTTGGCATTCATTACTAGAACATTAGACTTGCCACAAGTCGACCTTTGCTTTTATCTCCTTCGAACGAGGCGAGAGGGCAATCTTCAACCAACAGGCCAGGGAAGAATTCTTGGAAATGACTTTTAGAAAGTCTACTCGAACACTGGAAGAAAGTATGAATATATTATGTCAAACCTACATATCACATGTCGAATGTCAGCAATTGTTCGGTTAACTTTAGTGCAAAAGCTGCTCCAAAAGTCCTATTTGCTCTCATATTTAACATAATTTTTATAGCAAGTCTAAAATATTAGTAATAAGCCTATGTCTGTTGAAATAGGCCTGAGAAGAGTCGGTCTTTGATAGAGTGTCTGATGACTGTACTTTAATTTCACAGGTGCATTGAACTGGGTTACACTGGGGGTAGTTGTCAGTTGTGTCCAAGTACCTGCTGGATGAGCGACAAAGCTTGGCAGTGCAGGTGTTATGGAACTGGATCGTGCTGATTGAAGCCAGCTAAAGTGACCGGGATCTTTCAAACAGTAGACTTACATTGAAACAAAACGATAGTGACAGATCTAGATTTTTTTTTTTACATTGTATAATGCCCAAGGAATCCCGGCTGGCTTAAATAAAGGACAACTTGTCAAAAAAAGATCTCATATTTGTTATTTTTGTGCTCAGGGGATTTCATGTAAATGAGGTACAGTAGATGAAGGGAGAGACGGTTACAACCCCATACACCTTAGTCCTATAGTAATCCCTTTTTAGATCACTCCCGATTTCAAGAGACCCTAGGGGGTCTTGAAATAGCCCGCCCTGTGACGCGAATTGTACTCGCGCGGTCAGAACAAGCGGCTTTCATCCTCCACGAAAACATGATGCGGCGCGCGTGGTAAATAAAGATATTGACCCTCTTGTTCTTTATTCTCTCTTCCTGAATGATGCAATGCACAATGTACCAGTCAAAACTAAAACCAACTGGTGCCAATGGGGGGAAAGCATGCCATTGTTGCAAAACACGGGAAAACATTAAAACGGTGCCAAGCGCGCGTGCCACGCCTGGAAAAACGTGCCACCCCCGCAAAGGGCGGGAAAACATACAGCGGGTTACAGAGTATCTGCATTGTGTCAAGTGTGAGAAATAAATGTCAGACAAACTGGTGCCACTCAATGTCAACACAGGAAATACAGTTTGACGCCATTGGTTTTGAGGCTGGCTTGGTAGGCTTAATTTCAAGAAAGTGTACAACCCGAAAAAGTTGTTTGTTTAAAAAACGTTTGGGTTTATTCATAAAATGTGACACATGTGAGAGGCACAGTGGACTACGACTGCATTGAGGCTCTAGCGCGCAGTCCCTGGCCAGGACAGAAACATGCGAGATTTCGAGTACAGCGCACTACCCAGGAATTTTACAATACTTGCTTTCAATGACCTTGGCGGGCTGATAACGTTAGTGTAAGTCCCAAACACTCGGTATATACATATACGTGACAACTGAAAAGAATCGCGATAACAGATACTAGGAATAAGTAAAATATTAATTTTGAACTACATATAAAATGGAATAACTAAAAAAACACAGCCGGTCAGTACAAAATGCAGACCGCAGACCAGGTACAAAATGCAGACTTGGTACAAAATGCAGACTGCAGACTAGGTACAAAACGCAGACTGAAAAGATGGACTGTTTTTTTATTACTTCATAACTTACCCAGTGTCACGCAATCGCTTTTCCGCGGTCATCTTCAACGAAAATTTAGCTCGTTCCTTCACATATTTTGTTTTTAACAAAGAATCCAGGTCATACTAGTTCTTAAATAGAATCTGAAGCTGTCATAGACTTCTGACATCGCTCGCGAGGTCAGTAGTAAACCCAAATAACACGCAGTGTTCGGGAAAAAGTGATGGTCAATGACTGTCAATGATCAATCGTTGTTCATCTTGTAGCCAGGTGCAGGCTTACAGGCTGTGAGCAAGCTCTTCACAGTGTCAAGAAATTAGGAAGAAGGAAAGAAGACTTAAAGCCAAACTGTTCCTACGTCTTGAGATATTTCCAATGTTCAAGGATGAACACACACTGTGTATTACATTGTGTAGTTTACTAGTTACCAAACGACAAGAAAAGTAAACAAACGACCAGTCACGAAAATGACGCATTGCTTTTATTCGCCGATTGTTCTTCATTTG